AGAGTCGGATCCAAGGACTTTGCATGAAGGTGTAATTCGGGTGACAACTTCCTATCTGAGGAAGCTGAGCGTTTGAGATATCACGTTACCGGTTCAGGATCACCTTGCCAGGAGGTGGCAGAGCCAATGGTCCATGGATCTTTGGACTCTGGCCTCCCTCTCTTTCCTGCTTCCCCAGTTTTGTCTTGGAACTTGAGGCCTAGAGAGTCCACAAGGCCCCGTGCTCGGTCCCCGGGGAACCGGGACAGAGAGCAGAGGCTGATGCGGTGTTGGGTGGTAGATTAGACATGGCTTCCTAACAGTGTAGGAGAGTAGGGTCATACGTGGGTGTGTGGCTCTGGAAGACATGGGCAATAAGGACATCCCCACGTGGAAAATCAGTAGCATGAGAAAGAGTTTGGCTATGTTTGGGGAAACACTGGTCTCATCTTGGAGGCCGGCGGCTGGCAGCAGGCCGGGTGGGATCTGTATGTGGTGCCTGCTGGCAGCACAGGACCAGAATGTGGCTGCCCAGGCTTGGATAGCTCTGGTTGGGGTGATGCCTGAGTAGCTTCCCCTCAATCACTCACAATCTAAACAGACCCGAGAGGTGGCTTCTTCCTCAGAAATAGGAAAGTCTGTCTGGTATGTCCCTTAAAAGCTTTTCCGTGCAGGAAGGTGACAGCTGGAGTGGGCTGAAAGCACAAAAGGCCTTGTTTTCCACAGTCTTTATTACAGTGTAAATCCAAGCTCAGGCCTCCCCTGGGCCCCATGCAAAGCCCCTGCACCGGGCCTGTTGGCGTCCTCCAGACACCAACCCCTCAAGGCGCCTCGAGTGGTGGCGTCTCGGTAGTGCAGGGCAGCGCCACGTCTAGTCAACTACAAGTCCCAGAAGGCCCTACGGCCAAGGCGTCTGGGCTATCTCTGACTCCTAGGGCAGAGCCTCTTGGGAAATGTAGTCCTGGCCGCTAGGGCAAATTAGCGGTTCCCCTGATGGGCATGATCCTCACACCCACCCGGAAACTGTTCGTGGCAGACATTGGGAGTGGATGGGATGGACGGGAGATGGAGAGGGGCAGAGGGCTGCTCGGGTTGGGGCGTGTCCCGAAGACAGAGACACCCCTCTCATTCGGCTTTGGCTTTGGATCCGGAGACTGTGGCTGCTGCTGAGGCGAGGGCTCCCGTCCCTGGGATCTTAGCTCGGATCCTGAGGGAAAAAGGCTTCATTCAGCGTACGAGGTGTGGCAAGAGATGGCGGAGGAGGCAGAGTAGACTAGGGAAAAGCTAGGTGGGGACATCTGGGTGCCCAAAGCCAGCCCCGCCCTCCAACTAATGGTCTGGAATGGTCTATCACTGGTTCTGAGAGGGGGTACTCAGCGCCCGGCTTGTGGGCCGGGAGTGTTGAGAGAAAAAGTTCCCACCCAAGCCCCATCCCTGCCCGCGGCCTCTGCTTACTTAGCTTTGATGTGGCTCAATTGATTGGTCACCAACCCCACATACTGGTCGATCTGGGCCTGGAAAGATCAAGTTGGAGTGAGAGAAGGAACTGGAAGGGGTCCCTCTCCTTAATCCTTGGAGAAATCTGCTCCTTCTCTCACCAAATCAGGGGCTCCACCTTCCACTCTGAACCCTGTATGATGCCCTTGGGAGCCTGCAGCTCCAACTGTAGGGTTGGTGGCTTGGGCCCTGCTCTATGTAAGAGTGACATCAGGGAACTCCAAATATAGTCAGCCAGCCTGCTCCAGAGCACCAGGTTAAGCTTTCAGTGAGTCAGTATGTTGCAGGGTAGGGGGAGAGTAGAGGACAGCGAGTTCCCAATGGATCCATTTGGATACCAGTTTAATTTAAAATGTAGTTGAGGGCCAGGCATACAGCTTAGTGGCATAAGCACCTGCCTGGCAAGTGCAGGGTCCTTAGTTCAATCTCCAGTACCATAAAATAACAACAATAATAATAATAGGAACCAGGCATGGTGGTGCACGCCTGTAATCCCAGCACTCAGGAAGTTGAGACAGAAGGATGGATCTCTTCAAGTTAGAGAGCTGCCTGGGGGTTACAAAAATGAGCACAGGGCCAACCTGAACTGTATAGTGAGACCCTGTCTTAAAATAATAATGATGATGATAATAAGATGTAGTTGAATTTGGAGTCTTGGGGATTCGTATCTGAGGGGAGTTGACTAGGTCTATGTGTCTAGCAGGGTGTGTTATGGCGTGGCTCTCAGCTGGGCAGAGAAGGGAATGTGTGTCAGTCTGCCTGTCCCTGGCTGGGATGGCTGTCCCTCGGCCCTGATTATGCCAGTGTGCCAGTCCACGCAACTCTGAGTGGCACAGGAGTGGATGTTGGCTGCTTTGGAGCGTGGGGACATCCATCAGTCTGTCGGGCTGGGCTGGGCAGCAGTCAGATCCCCTATGTGTGGGAGTGGAGGCTTGGTCTGTGTTTCTCCAATTGGAATGTGTGTCTTGTCAGTGTCTGGTATCAGGAGAAGGCATTCATCTATCTGCCTGGGTTTGGCTGGGATGTGTGAAAGAGAAAAGAAAGGCTTTTGCTCTGCGGTGAGGACATGTAAGGAAGCGGGCCATCGGATGCATCATCAAATAGCAGTGTAGCTGGCCTCCTGTGTTGCTTGGTCATAGGTGGGGACATGTTGGTCAGATCCTGGATCTTTCTGTCAGTCAGATCCTGGATCTTTCTGGAGACCAATCAAAATGCTTGTCTAGCCCCAAGTGTGGTGGCCCATGACTATCTTCCCAGCACCCTGTGAGACTGAGGCAGGAGGATCACAAGGTCGAGCCCGCCTGGACAATTTAACAAGACCCTGCCACAAAATAAAAAATAAAAGGACTAGAGGGCCAGCCAAATAGCTCAGAGGATTAAAGTACCTACAAGCAGGTGCAGGTGCAGGGGCCGGGGTTCGATCCCCAGGCCTGCTGTGCTGACCCCACCCCAGGGGCACCCTGAGAGGGCAATTGAGACTGGGCGTGGTGATGTATGCCTGTAATCCCAGCACTTGGGAGGCTGTGAACAGGCGGATCACTACTAGTAGACCTTGAACAGCCTGTAGACCCTTCCCTAAAATATACAAAAAAAAAAAAAAAGGAAAAAAAGAAAAAGAAAAAGAAAGAAAGAAAGAAAAAAAAAAGGATTGGAGGCATAGCTCAGTGGGTTAAATCCCCAGCACCAGAAGGGGGAGGGGCAGTCTCTGGCTATTGAAACATACTGATTAGACTCTAGTTCTCATAAGGAGGGGCAGCAGTCAGCACACCTGGGTCTAGCTGGGACACCTGTCTGTGGGGCTCTGGGTCTCAATGAAGGCAGTTAGAACACCTGTATCTGGTAACGGGGCTTGTCACACCCACCTGGTGCTGCCGGTACAGCAGGGGGACGGTGAATAAAGCGATCACTCCTGCGGGCACAGAGATGCAATCAGGGTTTTCTCAGGAGACTCAAAGCTCCATCTGGAGCGCTGACACCCACCAAAGCCCACCAACTCTCCTCCCAACCTTGCCTCCACCCCTGGCAGATTTTCCAGCTCACCCAGAATGAGAAGAGTCAGGCCATTGAAGACGGCACCCACAAAGGTCAAGATGTAGAAGAGGAGGGCCAGCTGGGGGTGAGTGTCACGGTCAGCAGGGCCCACAGGCTATGAACTTGCCAGCCATGATCCTCCCATCCCCAAGGGCACAGAGGTAACCACTGGGAAGCCAGGGTGGAGGACTTGTGGTCACCTTAAGGGAATCCACGAGGTCTTCTACCAGGAAGAAATGCCGCAGCTGCGTGGCCGTGGAGACCACGTGGGAGGCGATCTGTTGGGACAAATGTTCTGTCTGCTCCCGAGTCAGGGTCAGGTCCACATCAAGGTAGGCCCTGATGGGAGAAAGGAGTGGGAACACTTCAGTGGGTGTGTGGGGCTCACACTGGGAGGAAGTGGCTGAAACAAGGGTAGTGAGTAGTAAGGTGAGTGAGAAATGACAGAGTTAGAATTAAGGGATGAATCAAACCTCATGCAGCGGGTTGGGGTCAGTGCCAGGATCAGGATCAGGGATTAAGAGATTGAGGTTAGGATCAGAGTTTAGGGCTTCTGGTCTAGGGCCAGAACCCAGTTTAAAGTCACAGGCTAAATAGAGAGTCAGGAGGGAAAAAGATGAGGGTGGGTCAGGGCCAAAGCTTGAGGTCATGGTGAGGACATTACAGGTCAGAACTGGGGTGAGACAGGGCTTAGGGCCAGGGGTTCTCACTGGAAGGGGTTGGCTCCATCCCCCCGGTGCACAGCCTGCAGCACTTTGCGGTAGACCCTGAGAGAGATGGTGCCACAGAGCAGCAGCAGAGCCACGTGTGCCGCCACGGACACGATGCTGAAGTGCAGGAGGCAGAGGAGGGAGACCATGAGGCCCGTGAAGACCACTCCCGACGTCCTGGTGTCCTTCCAGTACAGCAGGTCCGCCACTGAGGACAGGGGCAGGCGTCGGGCTGGGGCTGGGACCGGACCAGGCCTGGCTGACCTCCTGACCCTGTTTCCCATCCCCCATCAGGGCCAGACTTAACCGGGGTGCCACTGGAGCCCCAACTCAGCTTCCACATTGTCAGCATCCTGTTTCTCCTCCCAGAAAACCCAAGCTAATCACTTAGCAAATCCTCTGAACCTTACTCTGTCCCACGTAATTACACAGGACACACAGATGTGTACCCACCCACCTTGGCCATAATTTAATGAAAACTGGAAACAAATATATATATATATATATATATATATATATATACCCGCTTTTCTGCATCATGCATGTCTTATTCCCCTTTCCTCCGTGCATTGCTTCCTAGTCAACTGGAAGTTTTCTTTCGCTTTCTGGTACTGGAGATGGAACCCAGGGCTATCACTCAGCTAGCTCCCCAGCCCTGAAGAGTTCCTTAATCCATTTGTAGTGCTGGAGATTGAACCCAAATGCTCTACCATGGAGTTACACTCTTAGCCTTCTTTATATATTTGTTTATATTTTGAGTCAGGTT